AAGGTTCTATCAAATCTAACTATCAGTGTTCAGAAAGAAAATGAAACAAAAATATATACTCATAATTGGATCATGTTACCCCATTATAAATGTAGTCTGCAAGCTCCTCATTATGAAATATCAGCTACCTTGCATGGTAAATGGAGGTCAGTCACAATTTGGAGAATAACCTATAACATCCTCTCAAATCATATCCCAACATTCTATGTTCTAACACCATAGACTAGCAAATTAATTTTAAAAGCATATTTTCACACTTCTCTTTCATGCTACCCACTGACTAAGATATTTTTCTCTCCCTCATTAGTGTGAAAAACACTACTAGAGAATTTTCAGTGATGTGCTTTCTTATTTCTTTAGGAAAATCCTTTATGTCACTGATAATTATCATGTGATATGTCCTTTCTTTTCTTTGATACTTCCACGTTATTTACATAGTCATTTTTTTTCCATGAGTCTGAGAACTTCCTGAGGTTAGGGGCGTATTTAGCCTGATATTCTTAATATTGTGATAGCTCAGAGCAGAAACACATTTTTTGTAAAAAGGAAAGAAAGAAGGAGTCCAGTGAATGAGTTAGGCAGGCAGAAAGACAGAGAGTAGGGGTAAAAGGAGAGAGAAAATGAGTATCACCCAATAAATACTCAATGGTCATAGATGTAATTTATATCTATGGCTACTTCATTCCCACACAATTTAAAATCTTTCAATATTTTTACCAAAGGAGGTCATACAAAAAGTTCTTCCAGACTCAAAGTTTTTTTCCATTTCTCCACACAGTGGAAATTCAGGCAGATGGTCATGTGCAGGAATTCCAGCCTCGAACTGAAGACACAGATTAATGGAAAAGTTGACAGCTGGGACCAAGGCTTATTGTGCACATCAAAGGAATGTCCTTGCCAGATGTTTTCCCCTGTCTTCTGAGCATCATCCCGTGTACTGTCTCACTGTGGACACACAGTGGAAGAACAACATGCACATGTTAGCTGGCTCAGGTATTTCTCTGTGCTCTAATTGTCATGTTTACACATGTATCCCCATGTATGTGCACACACACACATACACACACACACCTCAAACAACTGCACACAAATCAGTTCTCAATCACCTCCTCAAGAAAGGATACTGATATTGTAGATCTGTGTTCCCACCCAAATCTCCTGTTCAGTTGTAATCCCCTTTTGGAAGTGGGTCCTGGTGAGAGATGACTGGATCATGGGGGCAGTTTCTCACAAACAGGTTAGCATCATCCCCTTTGGTCATGATAGTGAGTAAGTTCTCATGAGATCCGGTAGTTTCAAAGTGGATAGCACCTCCCACTCTTGCTCTTCCTCTGCCCCCATCATGTGAGAAACCTCTCTTTCTCTTTGCCTTCTTGCATGATTTTAAGTTTCCTGAGGCCTCCCAAAAAGTGGAGCAGATGCTGCCATGCTTCCTGTATAGTCTGAAAGCACCATGAGCTAATTAAATACTTTTTTCTTTATAAATTACCTAGTTTTGGGTATTTCATTATAACAATGTGAGAGTAAACTAATACAGATACTACTCAAAAAGAGAGTTGTGTTCTATGATCTTCTGATACGATCTTGTGGTAGCTGGATTCTGAGATGCTCAGTCTTAATTACCTCTCTGCTCTGATCTTTAAAGGGTCTCTTGTCTTTGAGTGTTGAGATGCTTCTCTTATTGTATAGTAAGACTTCACTTCTGTTTATTACACTCAGCTCTATCTGGATCTATTAGGATTGATCTCAGACTGAAAATTGGTGCCATACACACACACACACACACACACACAGACACACACACATTTTTTTTTTTTTTTTCTGGCTGAATTTCCTGGTTGTATTCTTTACCTATATATCCTGTCTTGCTTAGACAGGACCAGACTCCTCTTTTTTAGAATTAACCTAAGATTTGAGATGCTGAGTTCTGGATCTCTCCAGGACCAGTACCATTATCCTAACTAGACAGTCTCACACCTTTAAAAATCTGATCCTCCTACAAACCCTGTATACAAATGACAACACTGTATTATTAATTATACATTCAAATATCTGGGAATCTTGTGATTTACTGGTTTCATCAAAGTCCTTTGTAAGAATTATCTTTTTAACCTAACCTAGTTTCTGACACATTGTAAGCACTAAACAAATTTTTGATGAAAGGGAATTAATTAACAATAATAAAGCTGTGTAATACGTCTCCATGGCTCTAGTCTTACCTCCCACAAATCAATATATGGAATATCTTTTTTTTTTTTTTTTTTTTTGAGACAGAGTCTCGCTCTGTTGCCCTGGCTGGAGTGCAGTGGTGCAATCTCAGCTCACTGCAATTCTCCTGCCTCAGTCTCCTGAGTAGCTGGGACTGCAGACAGGCACCACCATGCCCAGCTGATTTTTGTATGTTTACTAGAGATGGGGTTTCACCATGTTGGCCAGACTGGTCCCAAACTCCTGACCTCAAATGATCCGCCTGCCTTGCCCTCCCAGAGTGCTGGGATTGCAGGTGTGAGCCACCATGCCCGGCCTGCATTTCTTTCAAAGTGTTATTTCTAAAAGGAAGATAATAAATTGATCTATGATTCCATTTTCAGTAAGTTAGAATTCTAAATATTTTGCATGGCATATGGAGTCACTTGTTTTCTGTGTTAGACTCTTCTTGCATTGCTATAAAGAAATACCTGAGACTGGGTAATTTACAAAAAAAAGAAGTTTAATTGGCTCACAGTTCTGCAGGCTGTACAGGAAGCATAGTGCTGGCATCAGTTTCTCAGGAGGCCTCAGGAAGCTTGCAATCATGATGGAAGGCAAAGAGGGAGCAGGCACATCCCATGGTGGGAACAAGGACAAGGTCAGGGGAGCTGCCACACACATTTGCACATTCGGATCTCATGAGTACTCACTCACTAATGCAAGGACAGCACCAAGCCATGAGGGATCCGCCCCCATGACCCAAACACCTCCCACCAGGCCCTACCACCTCCAAATGCATTGGAGTTTACAATTCAACATGAGATCTGGATGTGGACAAATACCCAAACTACATCACTTGTCATCCAAACACTGCTTGTATTTTTTGCTTATCTTCTGCAAGGATTACTTCTTCAGGGATTCTGTTTGTTCTTGTCACTTAGTAGGGCTCTATTTTATTCTTTGATACTAAGGATTTTCTCACATAGCCCTCTTTTTATGTTTTACAACGGCATGTATCGTAAGGCATTGTTCTTTTTCCTCTTTCCCTTACTAGATGTGACCTCATCGAAGCAAGAATTGCCTGTTTTGTGTAAACTAGCATAGTTCCTGGCAGAGAACAAGTATGCAAGAATTTTAAAAAGAAACTCTATCGATATTCCTCATGTTCATGATCTGTTTTTTATTCCCCTTCTCAGATCACACTATTTTAACTTCACAAATACGCCGTAGTCTCTTCTATGACCTTTTGCCTTTGTTTGCTTCTAGCTGAGCATATTACACTGCAGGAATACGAGATGAGATTTTGCAAGTTTGCGCAAACCTTCTCCATCAGTATTGTTGTCCACCTCTTTTGCCTTGGCATGAGCTTGGACTTTGGAAGAAAGATTGGTTTTATTTTATAGATCTTTGAAAGTATAACTTTAAATCTCTCTTCTGTACAAGATTTTCTTATATGTGTATAATATAAAACGTCAAGAGAAAAGAACATTTCTCTCCTTATTCGTAATTGACAGTCTCCAGCTTACAAATGGAGTCATATCTTTTTGAACAAACATAAGACAACACTTTGAAATTTATTTTACTTCTTAACAGAAAAAATATACATCTAAGAAATTTGTCAGGCTAGGCCAAAAGGGAGATATATATATATATATCTCCCTTTATATATATAATATAGTATTTATATATATTTATATATGTATTTTATATATATATATGTGATATATATTTTTTGAGATGGATTCTTGCTCTGTCTCCAGGCTGGAGTGCAGTGGCACGATCTAGGCTCACTGCAACCTCCGACTCCCTGGTTTAAGCGTTTCTCCTGCCTCAGCCTCCCAAGTAACCTGGATTACAGGCACACACCACCATGCCCAGCTAATTTTTATATTTTTAGTAGAGACGAGGTTTCACCATGTTGGCCAGGGTGGTCTTGATCTCCTGACCTGGTGATCTGCCTGCCTCGGCCTCCCAAAGTGCTGTGATTACAGGCGTGAGCCGCCATGCCCGGCTGGGATAATATATATTTTTAAAAGAGAAAAAACTGAATAAACTGGCCAGTAGACTTTTCATAGATGAGGATTCTGGAGGGAGAGGAAGGCGTATTTCTCACGGAATCTCTAACTCGTGCCAGACATCACGCTCTGCACATCACAGTCATGATCAGTCGGTTCAGGGTAGGAGCCATGTGTTGAATTACCTAACAGATATGAAGTGTCATGTTAGGTGCAGAAAAAATAAATAAATATAAATTAATAGGATAAACTCCACATGAGACATCAGGGAAAACACAGTCTTCAAAATACTTCTACGGACAGGTAATAAAATATCCTCCGCTGGGCGCGGTGGCTCACGCCTGTAATCCCAGCACGTTGGGAGGCCAAGTCGGGCGGATCACGAGGTCAGAAGATCGAGACCACAGTGAAACCCCGCCTCTACTAAAAATACTAAAAAGTTAGCCGGGCATGGTGGCGGGCGCCTGTAGTCCCAGCTACTCGGGAGGCTGAGGCGGGAGAATGGCACGAACCCGGGAGGCGGAGCTTGCAGTGAGCTGAGATCGCACCACTCCACTCCAGCCTGGGCAAAGGAGCGAGACTCCGTCTCAAAAAATAAAAATAAAAATAAAAAATAAAAAAAGAATATATCCTCATAGAAAATAAATGATATCCCTGAGGCCACATTTAATAAATTAAAAGGCCAAGAAGACCGACCTGTCCATGTCCACAAACCTGTATTTGGCAACTCAATTACCAACACCCAAAGACATATATAAGCAGGATGAATCTGTTCTAGTTTACTCAATAGAAATCTTTTTTTTTTTTTTTTTTTTTTTTTTTGAATAGGATGGAGCAATCCTTTATTTTTACACACTTTGACAAGGAGGTTTTTCATAAACAACCTTTCCAGTGGAGAACAGAGAATGGGAAAATCAGCTTCCAGACATCAGCAGCTGCTCTGCTTAGGGCCGAGGCTCCTCCTTGCCAATGTGATGAGGTGGAGGGGTGTACTTCCCTTCCTTTATCAGCTTATCCCGCTGCCTCCTGATGGCACCCGCACGTCTCATCGTTTTCTGCCAAAGCAAACACTCTACAAGATCATATTCTATCTTGCACTCTTTCTCTGCCTGGATAGCACCAATTCCATGTGCACATTCTATCCATTCTTTTTCAAAAGCATGGCATCGAGTAGCAAGCTTGTAGGGCTGTTCAGCACTCTGGATTGTCCACCATCGATCTGTGTTAAGGCCGAACCTTTTCTGGATGTCCAAGAAAGGCATGGCGATCCGATGCTCCTAGCCTTGTCTCTTCTCTGGCCCAAGAGAAATCTTATAGTAGGAAAAAACAAACAAAGCTATATTTCTTTATTTCTGATTAAATGCATAGGTAACAGGAAGTAATAATTTTTTTGTCCAGATATCCAAAAAGTGGGATTTGAAAAAATAACTAATAGATTAATTAGTGGTGAAGTTCCTAAAGAAGATAAGTGAGGTTTATTCTGATACCCATTTAAGTTTGTTTATTCTTTATTGTTGTTTTTTTCCTCATTTTTTTTTTCTTTTGGTTTGTTTTCTGAGAATGGTGTTGGGGTAGCTCAGTTTCAGTTTAAAGAAAGAATTCACCAGACAGGCAAGGAGGAGCGTGGTTAGTACCCCTGAGGAAAGAGAGGGTAAGAGGTGGTGGTTGTCAGGAAGGTTGATGAGGAAGAGGATATTCAAAACATTCTATCTTTCTGAGTTTCACAAAATCAAGAGCTTCCACAGGAAAACTGAAAAGCAGATCCTCGTGGGAACTCCTTTTATAACCGAAATATGAAGCCTTCAGGAACACTAAAGATCCACAAATGTAGGAGAAAAATACAGCATAAACTTCCTTTTGGAAAAGTTCCTTTTTCTCCTGCAATCTTTTATTTTTCTTCAATAATATGCAGGCATTATCTGTTTCCCTTAGTTTCTCCAAGTCTCGCCTCCTCAATGATTGCAGTGAGAGCTTTCTCCCCAGGAGTCAGAATAAATTCTTTGAACTATTTTTCTCTTTCGTATTCACCCTGCACACTGCATTGAGATATGTCTTCCTAAGTCTTTTTATATACATCAAATACCGATACTGGTTCTCATAACTATTATCACTTCAACCAGTAACTTTTCTTTTGCTAGATATAAACCTAGCACTACACTGAAATCGATGTCACGCTTAAAGTTATTAATTCACAGACATAAGTAGATTGGAAAAAAAAAAGAAGGTGGCAGATTTTTCTGTACTATTATTAAACAGTAGTCAGCAGAAGCCAAAGTTAACTATTATTACAGTGATGCATAAGCATGTTCTAGTCTTATCTGCATTTCAGGGCCCTTGTTGAATCAATTAGCTGGATGTTTTCTTCTGTCTTAACAGTTTCAACTCTGTTCTTTCCTCCCTCTGTTTCCAAATATGCTCAGATATTCAAATTTTTAAAAAATAATAATGTTTACGATCTGAGGCTATTTCCTGCTATTTTTCTTCATTTCTGCTGTTTTGCTGCTAAACTTTTAGAATGAAAGTTATTATTTATGTCTGTAAGTCCTTTATCTTCAATTGCTTTTGTAATATTGTAGCCTATGATTTAAAAATAATCAATGCCTTACCCCACACTTTCCACCAACAAATTCTACCATCTCTATTCAAACACTTTTCCTTCTCTACTCACTTCTCCTCTTTACTTCTTCATGCCACATAATAAATATTACTTGATTTTCTAATATTAGACAATATCTAGTATCTTCCAAATACAAAAAAGAAAAATATATCTCTTTTATGTTAGTGTCCCTTTTCCCCCAAAGCATATGGTCCCTTTGTTCTCCTTGTAATGTTAGGTAAAAATATACTGTTAAATTATTATTCAGTACTAGCATTATTTTAGTAATAAATAATATTCAATGCAGACCTATATTGGACAAGATGAATAAATTTTCCTTCTTGCCCATTACTTTCTTCTGAAGTTACTAATTACCTCATATTTTTTTTAATTCAGGGGGTACAATGTGCAGGTTTGTTACATGGCTATACTGCAGGATGCTGCTGAGGTTTGGGCTTCTAAAGATTTCATCACCTGAGTAGCAACCATAGTACCCGATAAGTAGTCTTTCAACTTTTGTCCCCCTCCTTCCCTATCCTCTTTTGGAGTTCACAGTGTCTATTGATCCCATCTCTGTGTCGGGTATACCCAATGTTTAGCTCCCACTAAGTGAGAACATGTAGTATTTGGTTCTCTGTTTCTGCTTGAATTCACTTAAGATAATGGCCTCCAGATGCATCCGTGTTGCTGCCGAGGACATAATTGTATTATTTTTTATGGATGGCTGCATAGTATTCAATGGTGTATATGCACCACATTTTCTTTATTGAATCCACTGCCATTGGGCAACTGGGTTGATTCCATGTCTTTGATATTGTGACTGGTGCTGCAATGAACTTGCCAGTGCAGGTGTCCTTTTGGTAGAAATAATTGTTTTCCTTTGAGTTGCATAGCTACCTATCAAGAATGAATACGAGAATATAAAAGTTTTAAGTAATGGATGCATTCCTGTTTTTCCTATATAAATCTCTTGAGAAATCCATAACCTTCTTACTCTAATTGTATGGGCTGCCCTTTTCCCATTTGGAGACATTTTCCTGGCTCTTAAGAATGAGAACTTCTTTATTTCTCTCCTTTGTCAGGTTTCCCTTTCCTAGTTCCTACCTCTTTCTTCTTCCCTCCCTTCCAAATTTTCCCTCCTTCCCTCCCTCTTTTTTCCTTTCTTCCATCATTCCTTCCTCCTTGTTTAATTTATCATTTTTGGAACACATCTTATGGTAACTTGCCGATATATGAAGGGTAGGTTTTTGAGGTATCCCACTTTTGGAGAAAACGTTCTTACCTAATTTAGCTGAATATTTAATAATGGGTTGAAAATACATTTCCCTTAGAATGTTGATGAAATTCTTCTATTTTATTTGATCTTCTAGTATTTCTGTTGAGAAATCTAAGAACAATCTGATTCCTGATCTCTGTCTTTACTAACCTGAAAGATTATTCTTTACTGAAACAAACTTTGTTCTTCTCTCTGATTTTCTGTTTTGGACTTTTCAGTCGGCGATTTTGCTAAATTACCTATTGAATCATGACACCTTTCAGTTGTCAAAATCAAGTATTCTGAGAATAATGTGCACCCTTCTTGGCATTTTTGCATAATTATTTATACTTTACCCACCAGCTTCATCTCTTCACAATAAGTCTTGCACTCAATGTCTTGAAATAGTATAAACCTTATTTCAGTTAGCTGAATATACTATGTTCTCATTAACATGTTGGCTTTCGTACATTTTTTTTTCTGTTATGCCCTTTGGATTCACTCTTACCTTTAACCTTCATTCTTCAGGTTCTAGATTTGGTAACTTAGCTCTGTTTAGGGCTCCACATACATCTCTAAACCAGAAACTAATACATTCGATCATATTTTTCTGTTTCTGTCTCCATGTCTTTCAGTCAGTTGACCATTTGGTTTTTTTTGTTTTTTTTGTTTTTTTTTTTTGAGACGGAGTCTTGCTCTGTAGCCCGGGCTGGACTGCAGTGGCCGGATCTCAGCTCACTGCAAGCTCCGCCTCCCGGGTTTACGCCATTCTCCTGCCTCAGCCTCCCGAGTAGCTGGGACTACAGGCGTCCACCACCTCGCCCGGCTAGTTTTTTGTATTTTTAGTAGAGACGGGGTTTCACTGTGTTAGCCAGGATGGTCTCGATCTCCTGACCTCGTGATCCGCCCGTCTCGGCCTCCCAAAGTGCTGGGATTACAGGCTTGAGCCACCGCGCCCGGCCGACCATTTCTTTAGATAAAGACTGTAACTTGTTTAGGATGTTCACCCAAGTCCTAGGTAAAAGCCTGATGTCAATAAACACTTTCTTTTTAATTAAGTGGATTCCATTGGTACAAATCACATTTTTATTCAAGTCATGATTCACACACAATCACTTCCTTGAATTGTGAACTTTTATCATTTTCATTTTAAATTCTTACAATGTTTTAAACTTTACTTGCATCTGTCACATTTTTGCTTGTGGTTAACCTACTTTTGAATATACATAACTAATTAGCAAACATGATTTTTGTTTGTTTGCCCAGCATAAAGTTTTGTACCTAACAGTCTCACACTGAGAAGATCAGAAAGAAATAATAGGAGGTGGTAAATAAGACATTTCCCTTATTTAACCTCCAATTTATTATTATTCTTTAGGGAACTTCATGAGGATCAATGTAAAAAGACTTAGAGTAATTATCAGTGGCACTCTAAAGTTGTCTGCATACAAATAGGACACTAATAAATCAGGTGTGTATGACTCAATGAAAGTAATTATTAGTAAATATGTATGTCAAATATATTTCATTTATAATTTTTTGACTCCAAATGATTTCATTTCAACATGCAGACATAATCACTAGAAGCTTATTACTCATTCTGAAGAAACAGATGCTGTAAAAACCAAGAACAGTGGAATAAAATATTTTTGTTAAGTAAGACATCTAGCAAAAGATATTTTCTTCCATCTGTGGTCTAATTATCAAGAGATTCCAGGGTATTAGACTTCTAGACTGACATCATATTTTTTAATTACTGAAGACAGAAAAAAGAACTAAAAAATCTTCTAGTTTTTAAAAGCACTATTTTAACTGTTATTTTTTTAAAAGTCCAAAAAAATAAGATGAAGTAAAACTTGATTCAGATTTTAGGTTCTAATCCTGAAATTCTCTAGGTAAAAAATGTTAGGACTTGTATTTGAACTTAACAATATTTGTTTAAATAACTCTCTTTCTCACCATCAAGACCATATATCTCTGTGAATTCTGTAAGGTTTTGTCAAGCCTTAAACAATCAGTTGATATGTGGAAAGTTTCAATAAAAGTTCATTACTCTCTAAAGTAGACTAGAATATGAATTGAAAATAACATCCTTGTAAAATATATATTAGCTTTCTCTGATAGAGAGTTATAAAGAGGAGAAAGCCCCTGAGAAGTTTCAGATCACACTAATGGAGAAAATGTAGTGTAGAGGTTAGAGGAGTAGAAGCTGGATTTCACTGAAAGGGATCTAGTCCCATAGACACCAGGGTTAGTCGTAAACTTCCCTGCCTCATATTCTCCTTATCCTGTAAAAGAAAAAGGTAGCACTATGTACTGCATAGGAGTTTTAGCAACGTTAAATAGGTAGTAAGGACAGTCTACGAGGTAGCAATTACCCTTTTAGTATTTGCCCACCCTTGCAAGTAGATGCCATTAGGCAGATGGGGGCCTCAGCAGA